AACGTTATTTTTTAATGCACTGTAAGATGATTTTTTTTTTTACCAAGTAAGTGAGATTTAAAGAATTAAACTGAACCATTGATCGACAATGATTCTATAATATATCCTGTTCTGAAGGCCACAAGAGGCAGAGACACAAGGAAATACCATTAAACACAATAATAATGTGTTTATACGCTCATTTGAGTTCTAACGGCAGTCACRGAATTGTTGTTGCCCGGTAGAAGTCGTCCTTGTCGCCCAAAAACTGGCGCTTTTTTATTGGCTAAACATCTTTATCACTTCGACGTTCAGGTCAAACTTAGACAAAGGCAGAATATTATTAACCTRTTAAAATTATAGAAGAAGTATTGATATTTATGATATCAAATACATATACATATATATAAGTAATACATTATGGCAAAAAGTACCCCGAAATTGTAAATAAAACACAAAACGAGTTTTGAAGACTTCGTAATGGCCTTCATCTCCTTCCGTGAATTTTGTCTAACTGAAAACGGGTTTCACGAAGCGTCCGTTACAGTTTGGGRAACACGAAAAAAAAAAATACACAGAGCCATATTTGGTGARWACGGTGGTKGATCGATGGTATTCATTGCGTTTTTGGCTTTAAATTCGGTCACAATCGTACTCTTTTTGAAAAATATTAATTTTTATCGGGACAAGTCGAGCAAGCAGTTGAAGAKGTCAAAGGTTTTCCAGAACGARGCATGTCATAAGCATTTTCCARCATTCGCAACGATCCCGCAGACGARATTTAKTTAGAAATACAAAATTTKAGACAAATTCTTTGTTAAATATTTGGGCCATTATAAAATTCGGAATGCACTCGTGAGATGAACCGACTTAAGCAGCTACTGCAAACRATTCGGTTGGTAGATCGCRCTCATAAATGGCATACCGATTAGCAAAAGACATTTTCTTGAAATCCGGTGATTTTTTATCACAATGTATATACAAWATACAGGGTRGCGCACGAATCGTGCTCCAAAACATTCCGTAATAACTTTTATCTGTGTGAGTAATGAACTTAATTTTTTTTAGTTTGTCAGGTTATTTTTTAAAAATGAATACTTAGAGGAATTCAGACGGGATTTTGACGCAACTCCCACCAGTAGYCATTATGAGGTTGTTAAACATATTTGCCGAATCTGGAAGTATCGCCAGAAGACCGTGAAACAATCGCGACTTTTTCACCCCCAATTCAGACAAATCCAAGACTAGCAACCTAGTGTTAGATGACGATCAATACGATCGATAATTTGCCTGGAATTTGCCCAAAAAATTATTGAAATTACTAAAGAAGGAATACCATTTTAATCTAAACGTACATGTAAACAAGTAAAATTTGCATACACAGTGTTAATAAAATCCAGAAATAATTTCCGAGACGGAACTTCACCCAGAACGAGTCACTGTGTAGTACGCAGTTTCATCGAGCTCCAAGGAAAATTTGAAAACAAATTTATACCAAGGACCTCCACTTTCCCCTGGCTCCCAAAGGTGACCATGCAGCAAACTTGTTATGGGTCCGATTTTATCTATTAATTATTATCATGACATTATTAAAAAAAAGTTCCCTGTGGTTCATTAAGTTACTTTACATATAATCACCAAGCACATGGAGTAATATCAGTCAGATGTTCGAAAATCCTGATATTAGTTATACATATGATTGGTAGGTTAAGTTTTTGTCAAATTTTATTTAATTGAAGCACAAAGATATACTGTTATGAACACGTTTTGTAATTTTCTTTGATAACTGAAATATTGACCGATATATGCGGTATAAAATCAACCGGAAGCTCGAAAATCTTTATGGGGGCTCAAAGTGGCCATACACGACAAACATGTGCGTTCGATCTGTATGAAATCGTTTCGCCATACACGACATACAGTCCATTTTGCGTTCGTTCTTTAAACAGTGAATATGTGCGACAAGCATGCGGAGAATTGGCGACACGAGWGAAATGAGATTTTGTGTGCACACATGTGATTTCGTTTTGGCACACAGAGTTAATACTGTCAGGAAAGGATTTTCCCTGAATTTCAATTATATAACTGCGCGGTTGTATTCCGATTTTGTCCATTTTCGCATTGTGATATAGGAATATGAGTAAATTGTCACGTACTAAATTTCGTCTATATCAGATGGTAAGGTTGCGAGATATGTGATTTCACCAAAATGTGGGCGGTGACACGCCCATTTGTACAACGGCTCCTATTAAGCCTCACACCATCTAGTAAGTAAATTTTAACGTATCTGGCGTAAGATTTCTTTAAAAAAGTATATTGGACATAAATACATATATATTTATTTATTTATTTTCATACACAAAAAAATTAACAATATCGTAACAAGTTTATTTTAATTAAATGCTAATGAGTAACAAAAATTGTAAGAGTAAATAAATATGAATGCTTTATTATACATTTTTTTGGTTTCTTTATGTTATTGAGTATATGTACGAGTACTTTTGTTGATATCTGCATACAATTAATGAGTAGTGTAAGCAGAGTAAAATAATAGATTGTAAAAAAAGTCTTGCGCTATTTCTTGCGGTATTTTTATTGAATTTTCAATTGTTCATAAATTTTTTTTTTTGATGACTCATGCCCAGCTCTTGACCGATGCTACGGCTGCTACTATGCCGGTCTCTTTCGACCACCTCTACACCAGAACGAAAACGTTGAAACCATCGTTGTGCGGTGGAAGTGGAGACTGTACCGGGTCCATAAACTGCACAAATTTTATTGGCGGCTTGTGATGCATTTTTGCCTTTATCGTAGTATCCGTAGTACTGTAAAATATGCCGTATTTTCTCTTTATTTTGCTMCATGTTTGCGACGCTATAACTCACGAAC